CATAAAAATTTATGACACAGGAAGTAATATCGTATGAAAAAAAAGTTCCAAAAAGTACCGATAGGATATTAATGGCACAGTTGTAGCTTACCAAAGTGAGAATTGTAACTCGATCTAAAACCTCAATGGCGCCAAACTTTGTGCCAAATAACTTAAAAATTAAAAGAAAGTAAGATTTCAAGCGGAAAAAAATAAATAAGTTCCCCCAAAATCGTCGATTTAGCTATTCATGACAATGTAGTAGCTACTCTAATCGAAAATGATTAATAGACACAGATATCAAATAAAAATGCAAATATCTATGCCTTCCTATGCAACAACCGATCAAGTAATTTGTACTATAAAAACATGTAGACAGCAAAGATGAATATTCTCACCTAAAGAGAGTCGTAACTCATATCACCAGTACGCGCATTATTGGTCAAGCTCTATATTATATCTTAATCATCCACAACTTCTTCAGATCTTAAAACCCTACAACAGTCCCGCAAAGGGCTTGATCGCCTAACCCTTTAATCACCGCCAGGGTATATATACGTTTTCCTCGCCTACATTGCCTTAAACTTCCCACTTTTAATTTAACAGACTCAATATTTTTTTAATTACCTACAAATCACTTATCTGAGAAAAAAGATTTCTGCAACGAAATACATGCTAATTTTGTCACTAGATGGAAGTACATTTTTTCCGGAAATCACAACAATTATAAAAATCTCTGATNCCTACATTGCCTTAAACTTCCCACTTTTAATTTAACAGACTCAATATTTTTTTTAATTACCTACAAATCACTTATCTGAGAAAAAAGATTTCTGCAACGAAATACATGCTAATTTTGTCACTAGATGGAAGTACATTTTTTCCGGAAATCACAACAATTATAAAAATCTCTGATGCCTCAAGAACTGTGTTTTTGCTATAAAAAAGAATCCATTATATTTTATGTTTCCTCTTGTTTATTGACGAAATAAATTACCAGGTAAGAAATTTAAACATTTTATGATGAATAATAAAATCTTTATATAAGAAAAGTTTTTTACAATTTACAGCACTACTGCGCAATGTTGCACTTCTGTAACAAACAAAAAATATGTCTGAAATTCAATTTAAAACAACTTAATTTTTTTATATATATATTTTATATATAATGAAGGAAAATAACTCGCCAGGAAAGGGAATACGGTAGAACGTTGTTTATCCGAATCCATTGGGACCGGACACCATTCGGATACGCGATTGTTCGGATAACCGAAAACCGAATGCGATCCAGGCAGTATATAAAACCGGACACTATACGAATATTGAAAATCATCCCATGCGGGAAACATGCTTGAAGAAAAAGAAAATGGGTGCAAAATGTCGCAATTTTACCTTCATTGTGGAAAATAATCACTTATTTTTTGCTGTACTAATATACACCTTCGTTTTTTCGCTGCAAGGTCTCTGATTTTCCTGAGCAGCAGTAGTTGAGTAGGACAGTACTCTGATTGTTGTTCGTACCACTCCATAGCTGTCTCTAACTCAGAAAACGCGTCAGCATTGGATGGACCCTTGCTAATTTCATTGTTGTCCTCGTCTTCATCGGTTTCATCGTCGACAGGATTGGATTCTTTTTGCACGGAAGTCGCAATCTCGTTATCATTCATTATTTGAAATCCACAATCTTCTGCATCGCATGCCATCCAGGTTTCTACATCTTCATCGCATTCTTGAAATCCTGGGATCGATCAGACAAAGTCGATAATCTCCTCCCTGTGGTCTTCATTGAAGTCTTTTTCGCCTTCTAAATCTAACCACAGCTTATTCTATATATTTTTCTGGCTCCATCTTTCGAGCGAGTCCCACGCTTCGGTAAACATGTAGAAAGCGTCCTTCATATTGAGCTTTGCAGCAAAAGCAGCAACACTTTCTTCGTGTTTTCTACCAAAGGTAATCTCCGCAAAACTTGTTTCCTATAAATTCTCTTGAACTTTTCAATGGCGTCTTGGTGCATTGGTTACACCAGCGCAGTGACATTTGGTGGAAGATACAACACGGTTCAATATTTCAAGTTTTGTATCTATATTCAAGACGTTGAGCTTCCGTTTTCAATTCGAAGCCATAGCAGTTCACAACTCAACGAAAGAGCACGTATATACTCTCCCGCACTTGGAAACAAACTGACGTAATATTACGCTGACCTAATGATATGTTTACCAAATCACACAACTGAAATTCCCCAAATATCCTTGACCTTGGTTTTCCAGTCACTTTTGGCCTCACCCGAAACAACTGCTGAGCATTGCATTGTTCAAAACATTATTCATACACAATACATGTAGTTGACAAAAAAACTAGTCCGAATATTTGACGCTGCGGATAATAAATGTTCGGATAAACGACGTTCTACTGTATAGTGAATAAAACTTAACATTTTACTGGAATTTTGTGTACGTAAAACTATTATGTTTCTCTTATACTGCAGTATGTTTTGAATTGTACATCTGCAGGGTGTATCTAAACTTTGTGGTAAAACTTTAAGGGGTGATAGTACACATCAAGACAAACAATAGTAAATAGGAAACTTAGTGTCCCACAAACGTCTTCCGAAGGATATAGTTGCCATTTATGTTTAGGGTCCGAAATTTCAAATGATCATAAAAAACAGAGAAATGGATCGATTCGTTAGCGGTTTTCGCTAAAATTATTCTTTTTGTCAGTATTTTCTTGAGAATAAATTTTAAAGATAAAACTAAAAAAAGTCGATAGAGGGCGCTTTAGACTTTGGAGTAACGAACAACTATTTTTTAATGTTATTTTTTGTATCAAATTGAATGGTTTCAAAAGCTTAGACTTTAACTTAAATTTTGAGCTCAAAATTTAAATCGATGGAGGTGGTTAAGTAGCGCAAATGAAATTGTGTTCAGGAGGTAAAATTTGATACTCCCTTCCCTCTGAGCAGAGTTCACTTACTCCCGATCTTGGTGTCGTAGACCAGGTAGCAACTACTACCTCGTACACGTAAAATAAACGGGAGAGGGATGACAAAATTTTAAAAAAATTATTCATAATAGACATGAGTAACTTCTCTGCT